TTTTAGAGACAGGGTCTCACTCTGTTGCCCAGGCTGGAGTGCAGTGGTGCAATCATAGCTTACTGTAACTCTGAACTCCTGGGCTCAAGCCATCCTCCTGCCTCAGCCTCCCGAGTAGCAATGGTAGCTAGGACTACAAGCGGCGCTACCATGCCTGGCTAATTTTTAAATTTTTTGTGGAGATGGAGTCTCACTGTGTTGCCCAGGCTTGCTTTCCCTTCTTATTCAATGAGAAAAGTGATACAACTTGCTCAGTTGATGGTCTCATGTGAATCAAAGTCAAAGGATTTAATAACAGCATCTCCACTTTTATTCTTAACCATCTGAGCAAGAGTGCCTCTCTGAAGAGTCAGGGATAAAAATGATATATATGGGGTTTTTTTACTAGAAGATCGTTGTCTTACAGATACAGCTGAGATTTATTAACCCACTGAAAAATTTAAGACGTCTTGGAATCAAAATGGTAACAGATATCTTTTTGGATTGGGAATCCTATCAGTTCAGAACAGAAGAAATTGATGCCGTGTTTCATGGTGCAGTTTGGCCCCAGGTAAACCTTAATTTCTACATTCTGCCCGGACGTCTTTTGTCTTGTCTTCCTTTATTATTAATTCATAACATAATCTGCTACCCGGACATGCAGGAAGTTTTTAGACACTTTTCTTTGCCTTCACTGTCACCTGAAGCTCAAGTTAGTTTCTGCAATACAATGGCATTTATACTTAAGGCTAATTTCAATTCGATTGTGTCTCTAAGCAAATATACTGTAACTTTTGTAGCACCTCACATAACATTGCCTCTGGCTTTTAACAAGCATGAGGGAAAATACACAGGTGTTTGATTTCTCCGGTTGTAATCCCTACGTGATGATAACTGGTATGGTTAAAGACTATAGGAGAGACTCGATTTTAGAAAATATTTCTAGCTGCTTGAACTCTCAGTCATTCCTGACCATTTGAAACCTAAAATGCCTGGTTCCTTTCAAGCGCTTGGCATTTCCATGTGTCACCTTTGCCATTTTTCCTGGGTAGCTGCTATTTTGGATTGTTTTATTTTTTTCCATAATCTGTCCTTTAAATGTTAATCACTGTCCCTTCGCTTTTCATCCTTTGCTGTTATTTCTGTGCTTTTTCTGCTTGTTGTTTGTGTTTTTTCTATAATTCTTATATATGTTTTTATTTGGTATTCTGTTTTTATGTCTTCTAGATCAACAGGCTTGGATCTGAGAGTCAGTATTCTCCTACTCCTCTGCTGAAACTAATTAGTATCTGGAGCAGAAATGCAAGGTATAACCTTTTTTTCTTTTCCTTTAAAAAGAGCAGTGTTTTAGACTTAGCTAGTCAAAACTAGTCTAGGGAGCTAATAATGTAACTTAAGGTCTTTCTGTAAGTGAGTTACTTTAGGTGCAGTTAAAGAGAATGAGGCAGCTGAATAAAAGCGTGGAAAGATCTCAATACATAGTTTAAAGGAAAATTAAGTCACTATACAATATATATAGTGTGGTTCAGGAAAAATACTTTTACATCAAAACTAATACATTTTTGCAATGTTTACAGTTTGATTAAAACTTGACAATTAAAAGTATTAGAATTGATAGGGATGTGCTTCCAATATCTATAATGATTATGTCAGTAGTTTGATTTGGCCTGACAAAGGGAGAAACAGAATGTGAAGCATACCAGGTAGTTACGTCATCACATGAACATGACCGTTTCCTTCATGCTTGCTTAAAGATAAAGCTGACTTGTAATTGGCCTTCTATGTCTTTTTCCCTGTTCCTGATTAAAAATCAGAAAAATTTCACAGGCTTTGTAGATTTTCTAGACCATTGTCTTCTATTCTTTGCAAAACTCCATCTAAATATACATACAGCTCTCATGGTCAGAAATGGTTTTATTATTGAGTCAATGATGTTAAAATCCTAGCTTTGGTTTCTTACAAAATTAGGATCATACTGTATAACTGGCTTTTGATTTTGTTCTTTCAGGTATCATTATATCATGAATACTTTCCCATGTCATTAGTCTTTAAAAAGAAATCAAAAACCTTGACATTGTCTTCCTCAGGAAAACCTGTTTATTTTACTAGTAGGAAGTGAGTGCTCTTCACTTATTTCCCAATTTGACACAGCAATTTCAAATCTTTTTTTTTTAATCACTGAACATTTATAAGCAGCACTTCATAGGCATACTTGAAGTTACATGTTTTATAACCATGTAATTTTTATGCAAATAAGCCATGAAGGATTTTCATCCAGGAATACTTTACAACAGATACTCTGTTTTATGTTAGTTGGGTCCTTATTCAAAGTATAGATTTACGTTGTTGGATTCCACTTCATTCTTTTCTGCAATTTCTCAGTTTTTGGCTGGGGAAATAGAAGCCACATAGCAATAGAGGAGGTAGGCAGCAGAACCTTTTTTTCCCCACTCACCTAAAAGAAATTTCTAGAAGGATCGACTTTCCTTGGGATCGTCATAGCAATAGATATGTATATGTAGTTGTGTGTGGAAGAATTAATGAATGAATATTTTAGAACCACTCCATGCGAATGTTACTCTTCAGTAAAAAATAAATTTAGATTTTGAAATATGGCTACAGTTTATTTGGTATCGATCAGATATTAAAACGGATGTTCAAGCCAGGCACAGTGGCTCACACCTATGATCCAAGCACTTTGGGAGGCCGAGGAGGGAGGAACCCTTGAGGCCAGGAGTTCTAAACCAGCCTGCGCAACATAGTGAGACCCCATCTCTACAAAAAATTTAAAAATCAAACAGATGGGGCAGTGCATACCTATAGTTCCAGCTACTGGGGTGGGGCCAAGACAGGAGGATTGCTTGAACCCAGGAGTTCAAGGCTGCAGTAAGCTGTGATTATACCACTGCACTCCGTCTTGGGCAACAGAGTGAGACCCTGTCTCAAAAAACAAACAAATTTTCCATCCATAGAGAAGTCTAGCATTTTACTTTGTATTGGTATAAATACCGATAGAGCTGAATTATAGCCATATCTTGAAGCTTGCAAGTAAGGTTAAATTCTCAGAAATTAGGTGAATTCAGGATAACAAAAACATACTTATTAACTAAGGTGATCATATAATTTGTTATCCAAACTAAAATATTCCTGAAGATAAAAAGAGATGCAATAAATAATTAAGCGAAAACAACCAATATAAGCTGGAACTGTTCCTGGCCACTCTCTTTCTTAACTGTTCTGGTTCTAACCACCGTGACCCCATCATGGTTCAGTCTCTTCCTCTTCTGAGATCTTTCCCTCCTGTAAGGCCCTGTCGTCACATACTGCCTTTATTGTGCTCACCTGTCTTCATAACTTATCTGCCTAAAGTTCTTTGAGAGCAGAGACCATTTCTCATTTATTATCGTACCTCCCTCCACAGAGGGTTACACCTCTTACTCCGTGTTTAGTTGATATTCATTGCATGTTGAATGAGTGATGGGAGTTTCTGATTGAGCCATACACTTTAGCATGGAGCGTGCCCATTGTACTGTGGCATCAAGTTCCATTGTTCAAGAACAGTCTGGTTACTTGGGAGTTGCATTGGATTTGAATGGGCTCTTGCTAGGACTTTGCCAGCAGTTGGAAGCAGCTCTCTTATCTTTTCTGCTAGAAAAATTTCAAAGACAACATAACAACATAGACTCTCTTAAGAGAAGTCTCTGAAGCCAACAAACCTAGCTTCAAATCCTAGAACCACTGTGTGTTCTTTTGGTAAAGTTGGCCTCTCTGAGCCTCAGTTTGACCACCTGTAAAATGGAAATAATAACAGACTTACCTCATTGATAATAGAGATGATAACATGTAAAGTGTCTTGTTTGGAGCCTTTCCATTCTAGTGCAATCGGAAAGGTGTATAAATATGAGAATTTCTCTGTCAGTTTGTCAGTGCCAAGTGTGTTAAAGTGCTTAACTTCATTTTTCCAGTATGATGCACTGATAAAGCCAAACTATCTGAATTTTTTTCAGTTTGACCTTTCTACTAATTATTGGGATTACATCTCTGACTGTAAACAACTGCTCATTTACCCAGGAAACCTTTGTGTTCCCTGCCCTTGGTACATTTCCACTAGGAAGGATATTCAGATCTTTATTATGAGTCTTTCACTGTTGGGGATGGATTCATCCCCCTCCCCTAACAAACGATCCTAATCTCTAAATATTGCATATCCTGGTTGAACAAACATGAGTATATAAACATTCACATTCTAGAAAGCTTATAATTGAAAAATATTCTGTTTTCATTGAGTTTCTTTTAGAAAGGGCTTAGGCTTTGGAGGTAGACTGTGGTTCAAATCTCAACTCTAGCACTTAGCTCAGTGACTTTGGACGAGTCTCATCTGTAATGTGTGGATAATGATACTAACTCACAGAGATGTTTTAAAGATTAAACGAAAAATATACATAAAGCACCTAAATCATGTTTCTAAGGTGCTTAGAATTATTATCCATCAAATTTTAGATTTTAAAGTAATTCCCCTTTTGAGTAATCTTATTAATGTTCATAAACACACACATATACATATATATTTGTTAAACTCATGTGAAAATTCATATGGACGTGTTTTTAGAAATAAACATATTGAGAAATAAGATGATTATGATAATGTTTTTTCTTGCAGATACTTCCCTTTTCTGGCCAAACAGAAGCCTGGTTACCCAGAATGTGATATCTTGACCAACGTTTTTGCGATTCTCTCAGCAAAGAATCTCTCTGATGCCACGGCCAGTATTGTAATGGATATAGTCGATGACCTTCTTAACCTTCCAGATTTTGAGCCTACAGAAACAGTTTTGAGCTTGTCAGTAACTGGATGCATATACCCTGACATAGCAGAAAATGCAGATGGTATGTATGCCAATAAAACAAATGCCTTTAAGGTAGCAGTTGTTATCTCAGAAAAGAAAAAGTCAATAGAATTTGACTTTCTTAGTAGCTTATGCTGCTGGGCATGGTGGCTCACATCTGTAATCTCACTTTGGGAGGCCGAAGCAGGAGGATCGCTTGAGTCCAGAAGTTTGAGACCAGCCTGGGCAACATAGCAAGACCCTATCTCTATCCCACCAAAGAAAAAAAACTAATTGGGTGTGGTGGTGCATGGCTGTAGTCCTAGCTACTTGGGAGGCTGAGGCAGAAACATTGCTTGAGCCCAGGAGTTTGAGGTTGTAGTGAGCTATGATTACGCCACTGGACTCCAGCCTAGGTGACAGAGCAAGACCCTGTCTTTTTTTTTTTTTTTTTTAATTATTCCAGGGTTTTGTGAGGGTACAAACATTGTAGTTACACTTTATGTCTTTGCCTCGCCCAAAGGCATGCCCTTCCCTCCCTTTAGTGCTCCCCGTGTCCTTTAGTTGTAGATTTGCCCCCCCATCCCCCTAATCCCTAGAGAGTATTTCTGCCATGTGATCAACCTAGTGTTGATCAGTTAGTACCAATTTGATGGTGAGTACAAGACCCTGTCTTAAAAAAAGAAAAAAGAAGCAGTAGCTTATGCTTATAGATTTCTTTTCTCTGGGAATTAATACTAATTTATATAAACTGAATTTTCTTTGCGTTTATGGAAATGCTGATTACTCTCCAGGAAGTCTCAACTATCCTTCAGGAAATTATTAAATGATTTCTCCTGTCATGTCTCTGAATTCTGCTTACTATCTTATCCCAACAGTTTCCCTTAGTGTTACCAAAAATGGTTTAAATAAAGCCTCAGGGGTCTCATATAAGTTTTTTTTTTTTTTTTGAGACAAAGTCTCACTCTTTTGCCCAGGCTAAAGTGAGTGCCATGGCGTCAGCCTAGCTCACAGCAACCTGAAACTCCTGGGCTCAAGCGATCCTACTGCCTCAGCCTCCCGAGTAGTGGGACTACAGGCATGCGCCACCATGCCCGGCTAATTTTTTCTATATATTTTTGGTTGTCTGATTAATTTCTTTCTATTTTTAGTAGAGACAGGGTCTCGCTCTTGCTCAGGCTAGTTTCGAACTCCTGAGCTCAAACAATCCACCCGCCTCGGCCTCCCAGAGTGCTAGGATTACAGGCGTGAGCCACCACGCCCGGCCCTCATATAAGTTTTTAATTTAGCTAGTGATATAGCTGTTTAGAGTAAGAAGAAAGTTACTTAATCTTCAGAGTTGAAATTTAAGTAAATGTTCATAGTATTAATAGTGAAGTGCTTTCCTTATTTATCATCGTGAAGGTATTGTACAATTATGCTTTAAGAGAGTATATTAACATCAAAACATTAATCACTCTATTTTAGAGTCTATCACAATAGGAGGAAGATTAATTCTACCTCATGTACCTGCAATTCTTCAGTATCTCAGCAAAACCACAATAAGTGCAGAAAAGGTGAAAAAGAAAAAGAATAGAGCACAAGTCAGTAAAGAACTTGGCATTCTTTCAAAGTAAGTGACATATTGATACTTAAAGATAACATTACCATCCTTGGTTTTCATGTTTTTTGAAAAATGTTACCTTGTTTTTTTAGTTGTTTGAGCCTGGTAATAAGAAGCTAAAAAGATTTTCAGTATCTTAAATGGCCTCCACTTCGAAGTTAATGCAGAATTTTCTTTCTCTGCTGGAATAATTAGAAACCTTTTATGGCATGTACCTTCATTTAATTATATTAAAGGAACAGATTTTTCAAAATCCTGAAGTAGACTAATAGATTTGCTTGTTTAGCCTTTGCATATTTTCTTTAGTTAAAATTTTGAATTTTGTGGGATCACATAGTGTTTTTGCTTTTTAGTTTAATTGATGAAAATGATTAAAAGAGAAGATTGTTTTATTTGTTTTTTAAGAGTGAAGGAGATTTTGCAAGGCTTTATACTTTTTAAAGAGTCTATTTGGCAATAGGCCTAATAGTATATAATTGTGATTTCTGTAAATGATAAGATTGGTAAACCTGAGTGCAAGAAACAATTCTATCTTAAATTTTAAATTGACCATTACAGGGCTTAGTTGTTGAAATTTATTTTTTCTGTTAACTTTCTACAACATCAACAAAAAATTATATATTAGAATCTTCTAGAAACTTCTTTGCCATGTTTTATTTATACTGTTATATTTTTAAGTTATATAGAATGAGAAACTATGTTAAATACACTAATTAAATTTTATCACAGGCTATGTGGTAATAGAAAGATGGTGAGAGGAGGTTAGGTACCAGAAAGACCAGAGTTCAAAAGACCTGTTCTACTTTTCCTAGCTGTGTGACATCAGCTTTGCTGAGTTTCTGTTTTTCTCTGGGCAGAACAGGGCTAATGATTTCTACATCACAGGGCTATCCTGGGTACCGTACATAAAACCTTCAGTATTGGCACTTAAAAGTGTCATTTCTTTGCGAAATAAAAAGTTACTAATTGTGGGATTATAGCACTAGAGTTCACTGTAACCCACTTACGCAATCAGACACTGCAAAAGAAGTAGAGTAGTAGCTATGAGCTTGATGCTGGAGAGGAGTAAGGATGAGCACTGCTAAATAGCAGAGTTACACTTTGTATACATACACAAATGCTTAAGCTTCCTGTGTACTGGAATGTTAAAGCTGTGTCCTTAGGCACTGACGTTTTTCTACAAAAGGTTTAACTTCTTAGAGAAATACTCTTAGCTTGTATGTCTTCCTTACATATCTATTTTTTCCTTCTTTAGGATCAGCAAGTTTATGAAAGACAAAGAGCAAAGTTCTCTACTCATTACACTTCTCCTTCCTTTCCTCCACCGTGGCAATATTGCTGAGGTACAAACCCATAGGATGTTTACTTTGTCTTTGGAATGGCACTTTATCGCTAGGTTTGTTTGTGTGCAGCGATTTTACTGGTTAGATTCTGTGATGCATTTGTCCCAGAAAAACTTAAAAGACTTTATACAGAAATAAAAAGCTAGAAATTGAGGAAAAAAATCGAAACTGAAATAGGAATGTCCAGAAGTTTCTAGAATAGGAAAGAAGGTGGAGACATCATCATCTACCATCATCTAATACAACAGTAAAAGTGTTAGCCCCTTTGTCTCCTTTGTTTAGCTTCTGATTCATTTCAGGATTTTTTTTTCTCTCTCTCACTTTTAATCAATAACAAACTTGAAGCCCAAGAAGTGCATTGTATAATCTTAACTATGGATCACAGTGGCAAAACTGAATGAAAACCTAACTTTTAATATTCGGAAGCGCCTAAGAGTTTCTGATGTGATTTTCAAACCCTAGTGCAATCTTAAGAGTCCTCCAGTAGCTCAAGCTCCTTTATAATGTAGTGACACTGAACATTTCTTACCACATAGTAGTTCAGTTTAGACAACCAGCGATCAGTAGACAACTAGAAGTGTATAGTTGGCTCCCTATATCCACGGGTTCAGCATTCGTGGATTCAACCAACCGTGGATTGAAAATATTTTGGGAAACCAATAAAAAAAATAATACAAGTTTTAAAAATACAGTATAACAACTATTTACATAGCATTTACATTGTATTAGGTATTATAAGTAATCGAGAGATGATTTAAAGTATACAGGAGGGTGTACATAGGCTATATGTAAAGACTGTGCTGTTTTGTATAAGGGACTTGAGCATCTTTGGTGTTTGGTATGTGTGAGAGTCCTGAAACCAGTCCCGCTTGGCTACCGAGAGATGACTGTACTTTTCTTCAGCAAGTTCGTTTTGGGGGCTCTTTTTTGATTATGCAATAGAAGAAATTATGTTTCAAAATCATGTATATTCTCTTATTAGAATTAAAGAAGAAACTGTTATGCACATTATTGTGGGTTTTATGTTAAGTTAAAATGCCAAAACCTTTTATAAGACTATGAAATAATTTTTCCAATTACTACTTTTACTTCTTATCCATAATTATTTTCTGTGCTATAATATATTGAGGTATAAGTTGACCAGTTTTATAAATTACTGAAATATGATTTCTCTTAATATTCTGAAGGATACAGAGGTTGATATTCTAGTGACAATACAAAACTTGTTAAAGCATTGCGTGGACCCTACAAGCTTCCTCAAGCCTATAGCAAAACTCTTCTCAGTTATTAAGAACAAATTGTCAAGACAATTGCTTTGCACTGTTTTCCAGGTCTGTAATATTTCTTTTTACTCCAAATTACCCTTTTCTTTAAAAGATAACTATGACATGTAAAGCATATTAATGGCTTTCTTTGTGCCAATATGAAGTTTTATATGAATTTGAGTGGGGGCCAGGTGCTGAGGGGAGGAGGGCAGAAAAGTTAAGATTTTATTTACTGATAAATGTACTGTTTTCCTTCCTTTTAGACTCTTTCTGATTTTGAGAGTGGATTAAAATATATTACTGATGTTGTCAAGGTAAGAAAGGAAGATTTCTCTTTGGCTTCAAAAGTACCATCGTTTTTATGCATTTAAGATTTATATGTGTTCAGTTGCGTCATTTCAATGGCATTTCTTGTAGCTTAACGCCTTCGATCAAAGACATCTTGATGATATCAACTTTGATGTTCGCTTCGAGACCTTCCAGACCATCACGTCTTACATTAAAGAAATGCAGATCATAGACATTAACTACCTGATTCCAGTTATGCATAATTGTTTCTATAATCTGGAGGTAGGTTTTATAGCAAAAATTATCTGGAAGCACTTCGAAAAATTAAACAGTTACGTATTAGAATAGGGAAATATATAGAGACAGAAAGTTAATTAGTGATTACCAAAGGCTACAGGGAGGGAGGAATGGGGAGTGACTTTTTTGATGGGGGTCAGGTTTCTTTTGAAGGTGATGGGAATGTTCTGAAATTAGATAGTAGTGATGGTTGCACAACTTTTTGAATATACTAGAAACCATTGAATTATAAACTTTTTGAATGGGTGGATTTTATGGTATGTCAATTATATCTCAGTTTTTTAAAGTTAATATTACTTGAAAGTTTAACCTTTTTTATTGAAGATATGGTAGAAATAAAAGATGTTTGGATTATATTAAGTGCCATGTTGCTGAACTGAATTAAAATCCAAAAATGGGGAAGATGAAACCCTTTGTTATCGTTAACCATGTAGTAGCATCAGTAATCTCTTTGTGGCATCTTTTAGTTACTCATCTTATATTAAGGATTATGTAATATATAAAAAAAAAATCTCCCCATTTGAGACTCATCCTTCATATATTATGCCAAATTTCAACACAAGGAATTCCAAGTCACTGACTGCTTGGTTGGCTGGTGTGGGAATATCTTCTCTACACTCACTACTTATATTACTCAAACCAGGAATTCTGGGGCAACTAACCAGAATTACACCAGCCAACTCTGTCCTTTTCAGTAATGACCTGATATTGAATACTGAAAAACTGACATTAGTGAACCTTTCATTCTGCTTGCTTTGGGAAGTAGAACTAATTAACAAGTACATTTCATAGTACTTCTAAAATGAGATGACACTTCTCAGTAAGCATGATTTTTTTCAAAATCATTTACAGCATTATATTCTTCACAACCGTATATTTTTTATGGGGCCTTTCTCAGTAGGGATTTTCACACAGCGCAGTGACAGAATTCTGTAGATGATTGCATTAGGAAATAATATCCCATGCTGTAGTTATTATGTAGAATAACTCGGACTTTTTTCTTGTCTCCAGTTAGGAGATATGTCTTTAAGTGATAATGCCAGTATGTGTTTGATGAGTATCATTAAAAAGCTAGCTACCTTGAATGCCACAGAGAAGGAATACAGAGAAATCATTCATCGTTCACTCCTGGAGAAACTGAGGAAAGGGTTGAAGAGCCAGACAGAGGTATTGTAACTTTGTCTTTTAAGCACTACTATCTGAGGTTATGTTTTGTTTTGTTTCCCTACTTCTGCTAGCTATTGTTGTGTAGAAAAGCAATCCAACTTAGTACATTTTGGTAAAATACTTGATTGTTTAAATAGTCGCCAAACTAGAAAGGAGACTAGAAAGGAGAGCAGTCACTTTTGATTTTATGTAGTTGTTTTTGTTTTATTTTTAACAATGGAAATATTTTACTTTTAAAGAATTTTATGTCTTTTTTTTTTCTGTGTTTCTTCATATTATCTAGGAAGGAAACTCTTTTTAAAATAAAAATATTTATTTTCTCCACTTGATATTTGCAGAGTATTCAACAGGATTATACCACGATACTTTCCTGTTTAATTCAAACCTTTCCAAATCAACTGGAATTTAAAGACTTGGTACAGCTGACTCATTACCATGATCCGGAAATGGACTTCTTTGAGAACATGAAGCATATTCAGGTTAGATAACAATTCTGCTTTTTCCTGCATACAAAATAGGCATCTCGAACAATTCTGCCTCATTTGGAAAGACATATTTTAACTTTTCCGAAAGGCTTAAGCTTCTCATTTTGGTCTTCATGATCATCAGTCAGATTTGCATGTAAGATGATCATTTCCTGGAGTCTCATTCTTTGGTGGTGTCACAAACCACAATTAATAGTAGTGTCACCTTTCCCTGCCTTTTCCTAAGACGTTTAAATGCTTTGGGTCCATTGTTAAACAAATGCTGTGGATTATGTCTCTGGACGCAAATCAAGACACAGGTGTTTGCTCATATGACACGTGGACTGTGTTTCACTCCTTTAATCTTTTCATGGAAAAAGAATATGATACTGAAATGGAGCTGGTTGTAGGTGAGATTATTCAGTAACTGATTCATATTTTATCTAACTCGTAGATCCACAGAAGAGCAAGAGCCTTGAAGAAACTGTCAAAACAACTAATGGAAGGCAAAGTTATTCTGTCCTCTAAATCTCTTCAGAATTACATCATGCCTTATGCCATGACTCCAGTTTTTGATGAGAAAATGCTCAAGGTAGGGCATTAGATCTAGAAATCAATAAACAACCCATACCATGGCACATTTTGCCAAAATGTAGCTGGAGTTGGTGACATCCATATTGATGTTGTCACCATAATTAGAAACTTAGCATAGTTCTAAAAAATCTATACTGGGTATAGATTCTAGATTGACAGGTTGGTTGTTGGTTTTTTTCCTTTCAGGACTTTAAAGATGTTGCTCTGCTGTCTTTTGGCTTATACTGTTTCCAATGAGAAGTTATTCCTAACTTTGTTCCCCTGAATATAATATATGTACATATTTTTTTTACTGCTTTTAAAAATTTCTCTTTATTGCCATTTGTTTATGATGTGCCTTAGTGTAGTTTCCTTTATGATTCTTGTGCTTGGGATTCATTGAGTTTCTTGAATTTGTAGATGTGTAGTTTTTATTAAACTTGGAAATTTTCAGCCATTATTTCTTTTTTTTTTTTTTGGAGACAGAGTCTCACTCTTGCCCAAGCTAGAGTGCCGTGGCATCAGCCTAGCTCACAGCAACCTCAAACTCTCTGGGCTCAAGCAATCCTTCTGCCTCAGCCTCCCGAGTAGCTGGGACTACAGGCATGCGCCACCATGCCCGCCTAATTTTATCTATATATTTTTAGTCATTCGATTAATTTCTTTCTATTTTTAGTAGAGACTGGGTCTCGCTCTTGCTCAGGCTGGTCTCGAACTCCTGAGCTCAAACGATCCTCCCGCCTCGGCCTCCTAGAGTGCTAGGATTACAGGCGTGAGCCGCTGCGCCTGGCCCATTATTTCTTTAAATATATTTTTGGGTCCCCTTCTTGCCTTTGGAGACTCCAGTGTATTTTAGTAGGCCACTCAAAGAGTTGTCCCATAACTTACTGAGGTTTTTGTATTGTTTAGTTTTGTTTCATTTTTTTCTGGGTTTTATTTTGTTTCATTTTCTATTGCTGTGTGCTCAGATTTACTGATCTTTTCTTCTGCAATGTCTCTGTGAAGCTTTCTCCCGTGTAGCTCTCCTCTCTGATACCTGCCCTGTGCACTCCAGCTGCCATAACCTCAACTCTGTCTCCTTAACTCAAGGAGACCACTGGGCTCTCTTTGGGTTTCCCTCCCTGTGCTGCAACCTAACAATTCTTTCCACGCAGTAAATTGGGGCAGTTGTAAGGCTCACTTCATTTGTTTCGTTTCTCTCAAAGATCACTATCCTGCACTGTTTAATATCCAAAGTCTGAAAACTCTTATTTCATGTATTTTGCCTGCTTTTCTAGCTTAAGGTATAAAGGTAAATCCAGTCCCTGTTCTCTATCATGGCCTGAAAGAGATGTCTCTGAGGCAGTGTACTTTCACTTGCTAAGTAGTGCAATATTTTAGTCTTTGACATTTGTCAACTTTCGTGCACAGAATTTGCTTCATTCATTGTATGTAATCCTAAACCCATCAAGGAGGTCTGCGTGGAAAAGAGTCCAAAATATGTTAATATACCAAGTTAGCCATGTATTTTATTAGCAAATACTTGTTCTGGCATTGACGCTCTTGATTTATTTTACAGCATGAAAATATAACCATTGCTGCCACAGAGGTTATTGGGGCCATTTGCAAACATCTCTCTTGGTCAGCATATATATATTATTTGAAACATTTCATTCATGTCTTACAGACTGGACAGATCAATCAAAAGTTGGGTGTCAGGTATGGTCAATTTTTGTGGGTTTTTTTGTTTTATTTTTAAACAATTTTTAAATGTTTCTTACTTTATTTTGTTTTTAAAATTTTTAAAATATTTCCTGAATGAGTCTTTCTATAATTTTATTTACTTTGATCTTTTACTAATGAGTTTATGCTAATGCTTGTTAACACACTGACTGCCACACTAGAAAAAAAAAGTTTCCCTGAGGCCACAGAGTTTTATGAAAATAGAATAAAGACTTCAAAAACAAAACGATCCTTTCTAATTTAATGAAAAATGTGTTATTTTTTGTCGTTTTCTGTGCATGAGTTATATGCAACTTGAAAACTGGTTCACACGGCTCCCAAGATAAAGAGACATATGAGTTACATATGCTTCACAAGGCCCTGGACTCAAAACTAATGTGAGTTAAATACAACTCACATGGCAGTTAGTGTGTTAAAGTCAAAAATACTGATAAAAATAATTTTAATGTCTATTAGACTTTAAATTTCCTCTCCTTTTTTATTTCTTTTTTAATACCAACAAAAATGAACTTGGAAAATTTCTCCTCCTTTTAGTAGTCAAACGATCAAAGGATATTGATAATCATCAAATGAACATTTTTGTGTACCTTTTCTTTTTGAACAGTTTGCTAGTAATAGTGTTAGAAGCATTCCACTTTGACCACAAAACTCTCGAAGAACAAATGGGAAAAATGCAGAATGAAGAAAGTAAGTGTATAAAAGTTTCTTAAACTAGATTTCCTTTTTATTCTGAGATAATTTATGATAGTGAATTAAAGATGGCAAAATTCAACTTATTCCTCTTTTCTGCTCTTATAGCAGTGACTAATGAGTCAGAAGGAAGCTAAAATGAATGATTTAAGTATTCTTGTAAAACCTATTTAACTATATAGAGAAGGCCATTCTGAATTGTATTAGTGAAAAAAATCTGAGCCGTAGATTATTTACATAGAAATCCAATTTTATTGCCTTGTGTGGAAAGAGCATTAAGCAATGAATGCAAAGAAAATTTAATAAAAGAAATAATAAAAATTAGAGCAGCAATAATAAAATATAAACTGGATATAATAGAAAAGATCAACAAAGTTAAAAATAGATATTTGAAAAGATTACAAACTGGCAAATGCCTGACAAGAGTGATCCATAAAAATATTAATAGAAGGCATAATAAATAAGATTAGGAATTAGAAAGGGTCACAATTAAATGACAAAGGTAAAATAATATGATCTTTGCTTTTATAAATTTGAATATGTGAGTGAGATGTGCAAATTCTTAGAAAATGTAATATAAAAATTGACTTTAGAAGATAACAAAAAATCCTAATGAATCTCTAACCTTTAAAGAAATTGAATCTGCAGTTAAACATCTCCTGATGAAAACACGAGGCACAGAGTGTTTTATAGGCAAGTTTTACAAACATTTAAGGAATGGATGATTTCAACCTTATACCAGCTATTTCAGATGATGGGAAAAGAGGAAGCACCCACTAACTCATAAAGTTGGTATAACTGCATACCAAAAGCTGACAGACACTGTAACCAGTCTCATGCATTAATATAGATAAAAAATCTTAAGCCAAATATTTGCTAATCAAATCCCACAATCAATAAAAGCATTTAAAAACATACCCGTGTTTTGGTTTATTCCAGGAATGTAAGGTGGGTTCAATATTGGATAATTAGTTAATGGAATTTCACACATTAACATGTAAAAAACATATGATCATCTAGGTAGATGCAGGGAAACTATCTGATTAAATTTAGTGTCTACTGATGATAAAGAATGAATATCTAACAAAAGAATAGACAAATTTTCTTAACCTGTTAAATGATGTCTTTAAAAAACCTAATACAACATCATACTCAGTGGTAGAGGATTAACAGCCTTTGCTTTAAAACCAGAATAAGATGAAAATACCTACTACTGCTACTTAATAGTGAACATTGAACTCGAGGTTCTAGTCAGCACAGAAAAACAAAGAAAGATTGAACACTCAATAGGCCTATTTGTCCTATTTATTTTGGCTAAAGGTGCAGAAATATTCTGGCCTTCAGTTTGCATTGTTTTCTTTAGTCAGTTGAATTTATATTTTGCAACTTTGCATAAACATAAATGTTTAAAAACATTTAATTTCCTTAACTATTTCTTCTAAGGTAATATAGTACTTATTCTAAACTAGCTCAAATTATCAAAGTTTAGTGGTGTCCAAATTCATATGGTATGATATATTCAACAAGGTAACCGAAATCTGGGTGTGCTCTCTGTCCCACATAACATATGTGTTCCACCTGAGTGTTGCTCTCTTACATGCTGTTTCATTGATCCTGTGCTGTTGATATCTCCATTTAATAGCTGTCCGAATTCACTTATGAAAACAATTGCCAACTCCTTGTGATATTTCACAATATTCAAATTTTATTTTTTCTTCTAGTAAATTATTTTGTCCCTGAGAAAGATTGCACTGGGATATTTTATTAATGCTGTAAGGGAGATACATATTTTTGTTGTTTTAGAGACAACTTTTTTTTAACATCTTATATGAGGCATAGTTGTGATTAAGCCTAACCTGCCTGGTCAGGGTGTCAGATAAGCAGTCTTACCAGCAAAGGCTGATTCTTACTGTCTGAAGCACTAGGGAACTCAATGGGGATACTTCTCTCCCTTGGATTAGATTCATCTCATCTATGCAATTACATTCTCCAGGCATTGCTGACCTTGGGTTTCAGGTAGCTGTGAGGAATAATGGTAGCTTCCAGGGAGGTGCTGGACAAAAAAAAAATCTTCTACCTCTACCATCATCAACTTACCACTGTACGGGCTCCTGCCCCTCAAAACATCTCTTCTCCCTTCATTTTCCTCCATAGTTAACCTCTTCTATACCACTCATATCACATACTGGCAAAGCAGCATGAAAGAGCAGCCATCACATTATGATGCAACAGGAGCCCGACCTGCTAGTTACTACTAGTTACCAGCAGTCCCCTAAATTAACCTGAGTCAGAGCTGGACCAAGCCAGGGTAGAGCATTGTCCTTTAGGATGAGGGTAAAGGAGCATCACTGAATTGTTGTTCTATATGATATTGAATTAAGAGTTTTCATTTGCTAGTTCTTGATTCTGCATATTAGTAAAAATTGGTCAACAAAAATGATATGGTGAGTCAAAGAGGATAGTGGTCTTTTTAAGGAAAGGGAAAATAAATTCATTGACACGGAGAACAATGAAGTTTGAAACATTTATTGGGCACCTACTATAGACTGAGCTTTTATAGACCTTACCTCATTTGTCCTCATGAAGAACATTACAAGGACCTGCCGGGCGCGGTGGCTCACGCCTGTAATCCTAGCACTCTGGGAGACCGAGGCGGGAGGATCATTTGAGCTCAGGAGTTTGAGACCAGCCTGAGCAAGAGCGAGACTCCGTCTCTACTAAAAAAAATAGAAAGAAATGATCTGGACAACTAAAAATATATAGAAAAAATTAGCCGGGCATGGTGGCACATACCTGTAATCCCAGTTACTTGGGAGGCTGAGGCAGAAGGATTGCTTGAGCCCAGGAGTTTGAGGCTGCTGTGAGCTAGGCTGACGCCACGGCACTCTGCTCAGGGCAGTAGAGTGAGACTCTGTCTCAAAAAAAAAATAAAAAAGAAAAGAAAAGGACCTTAGTGTTGCTTACCTCATATTTTTGATGTGAAAAACTGAGGTTCAGACACAAAGTAACTTTCCCAAAGCCAGTAAGTGAAATAAAGACTAATAGCTACCATTTTTTGAAAGTCAGTGACGTGTCAGACACATATTTTAGGCAATTATAAACCTTATCTCATTTAGTCCTCATAATAGCCTTGCAAGGTAGGTGCCATCTCCATTTTACCTGTGAAGAAGCCAGAGCCCATTAGGGTTGAGTGAATTGACCATGGTTACAGGGTTTGTTGGCTGAGTCTGGTCTGGACTTAACCCGCAACACTGTGCTGCCTAATTTTCTTTAATAAGCTGAATCCTAGAATAAGGGACATTTCTGCTTAGGAACTGTTGGCCACCATTATGATTTTCATGCCCATGAATGCAGGTTTTTGCTTTTGGAAACTTTCTCCAGCCACAGGACTTTGGAAGCTTTCTTTGGTTAAGACCTTCCTGACCCCAGCCTCCCTGTGCGTTCCCACGTTACCCTGCACTTGCTGTTCCACGTTATTTTATATTAAATAATTGGCAGTTTATTTGTCTTTGTCTCTCATTAGGCCCTACACTGTGAGAAAGCAGTAACCATAGCCCTCTCATTTACTGCTGTTTCCTCAGCCTTTACCTTGCCTGCCCACAGCTGGTGATTAGCTATTTTCTATTGAAAGTTGGATTTCAGCGGGAAAGACTATTTACCACAACTGTGTTGTTTCCTCATTTGATGTGACTTCTGTTGTTCATTAAACGCAGACACAATTGAAGTGATTGAGTTACCAGAACATGAAGCCATGGAATTAGAGCACACGGGCGAGGAAGAGAAGGAAAATACATGTAAGAGTTTGTCAGACAGTGAAGAACTGGGAAACGCTGATCCAGCTAATTCTGAAGGGACAGCTAAGGAATCCGAGTGTGTCACAAAGTCTGTCTCTTTCCTGCCTCGGAATAAAGAAGAATTGGAGAGGACAATTAAAAATATCCAAGGGACCATAACTGGGGATATTCTGCCTAGGCTACATAAATGCCTTGCATCCACGGTAATAATTCTGTTTGGGGCCCAACAGATCTGTGTGAACTCGGGTGTTGGTGGGGACCTGTCAGACTGAGGCTCTTAACGATTTGTCTTCATCGTTTGGACTTCCTTTTATCACAGTTCACCTCCCTTCTCTTAGCTCGTCAACTTTAGGCTCATCTCCTCCTGCAGCTAGGCAGTAATTGTCCTTTATCATTTTGATATGGTAGATACATACTTTACTGTCTCCAAAGTAGATGGTAAGAGACTACTATGTCCAAAAAAATGTAATTAAAAATTAGAGTATGTTTCTCTTTTCTACTTCTTGGCCACTTCTTTACTAGTCACAATTCATCTTTCCCCGGTAACAGGGATAACATTTAGCAGTGCATTCTCATGAAGAGAAAGCCTTTTCCTTTCGTTCTCAGCATAAAACATGGGCTAGCAAACTGTGGCCCATGGGCTAAATTTAGCCTGAAGCCTATTTTGTAAATGAAGTTTTATCAGAACACATTCATACCCATTCATTTACATAGTGTCTAATTCTGCTTTTTCATTACAATAGTAGAGTTGAGTGACTTTATCAGAGACCATAAAGCCAAAAATACTATCTGACCCTTTACAGAAAAAGTTTGTCAACCCCTGATGTAAAAATATTGACTTGGTCGTTTTGTATATTTGTAAATAAACCTTCTTTATTTGAGGCACTTCATTTATTATATACCAACAGTGTCACTCAAACACTTGAAAGCCCCAATTGACACATATTTTATGTGAGTTTTCTGTACTTCACAGCAGTCTTAACCCACATCAGTGAAAAGTTGGCTTTATGTTTTTCTGGTGAGTCTTTTGAAAAATGGGACATCTGTATTTCTATTATTTTTATAATTTTTAGAGGTGTATTCTCAAATTACACAATTTAGTTTGTTTTTAAAGACACCAAACTCAGAAATGGGCTAAAGATCTACAAAAAGAGCTTATCTTTCAAATGCAAGTTTGGAGTGCTGGTAGGTCCTTGATCCATTTATTTTCATTTTGGTTTAAGTTTAACCCTAAGTTTTCTTACAGACTAAAAGGGAAGAAGAACACAAGCTGATCAAGTCGAAGGTTGTGAATGATGAGGAAGTGGTTCGAGTTCCTTTAGCTTTTGCTGTGGTTAAACTAATGCAGTCCCTTCCACCAGAAGTTATGGAAGCTAATCTGCCGAGGTATGTTGTGTGGCAAATTAGAAAAGTTCAGCGAAACTCAAAAGTTGGTTCTTTTCTTCCTCGCTTTTAAATATCTTTTGTCAGGAAGAGAAGTGCTGTCACAATTTGCTGTGGTTTAGAATCCTAACTAGGAAATTTGAGTTATGAGTAATTAAGATACAAAAGGATATTTATATGTTTATTTGCTTGTTTATTTGATTAGTCATTTTTCAACTTCTCATTTTGTAGTATTTTGCTGAAAGTGTGTGCTCTCCTCAAGAACAGAGCACAGGAAATTAGAGACATTGCACGCAGCACTCTTGCAAAAATAATAGAAGATTTGGGTGTACACTTCCTACAATATGTTTTAAAAGAATTACAGACTACCCTTGTCCGTGGATACCAGGTAAATTGCCTCATGTGCTTTATATTCAAGTTGGATAGGAGTTCACATATTTGCAGCTTAAATACTATAAGTCACTTCAAGAGCCCCTCACCAAAATAAAAAAAACGATTTTTAAAAATTATATAAAGCTCACAGCAAACATTTTAAATACAAATGTTTCTCCACTTTATGGTGGGGTTATGTCCCAATAAACCCATCATAAAGTCAAAAAATCATAAATTGAACCACTGTAAGTCAGGACCATCTGTATATAAAAATAAAGATCATAAGTAGGTACATAAGAAACTATGCCTTTACGATCCAGTCTACGGATTGACAAATAAGTGTGTTTCCTTAGCCTATGATTATTGGCTGATATTTACCATGATAATTTTATGGCACTAGAAGCAGCATAAAGAATATAAAAAGCTTGAGGGGCAGCGTAGCATAGCGATGCAGAACTGGGCTCTGGTTCATAATCCTGACTCTACCACCTCCTGCCCATCACTTCCTTGTGCCTCAGTGTCCTCCCCTGAAAAACGCTGATAATACAGCACCTACACCATACACTGGGTGGGTGAGGCATCACTGGTCTAATATGTGTAAGGTATTAATACAGTAAGCTGTCAGTAAATGTGAGCTGGGTTGCTATTGGGGGCAAAAACTTATGTGTTTCCTTCATAACACTTTATGTACCAGCTACGATTATACTCAGCATTGGCAAGCTCCTTAAATCACTAGTTGGTTTTTTAAAAGCTCAAGACTCTTGTGCCTTTCTTCATAAATCATTGGCCTGGTTTAGTCACAGTAAATCCTAAGCATGGTAATGTGTTTCTGAACATCTTTTGTACAGAGTGATCATTTGGTCAAAGGATTTAGGTAGTAATAGAAGTATGTGTCATTTATCAAAGCTTCTGGCAATACCAGACATGTAAACTGAGTGCTCTCTTTGCAGTACTGCCTAGATCTTACATTTTTCTAGTGTGGTGTTCCTAACCATTTATATTCTTAATGTGCATCTTATTTTAGGTCCACGTGCTGACTTTCACTGTTTATATGTTGCTACAAGGCCTCACCAACAAGCTGCAAGT